AGAACTTCTTTCTCAATTGAGAAAAACTGCCTTACACCACAACACCAAGATAGTAAGTAGATTAAAAATAGATCAATAGGAAGAAATTCAAATAACAGACAAACAGAATAGACTTAAAGGACAGAGAACTTACTAAATTAAGAAGCCTAACAAATATAAAAAAGAAAAAGTTCAACAGATTTCATTATATAAGTTACCCTCGTTATGCTAAGCATACGTAAAAAGCAAATTGGGAAAAAATCTGAAAAAAATACAAAGTATACAGTTAATATCTTTAAGGTATAAAAAAAATTTTTTTTAATTTAAACCCACAGGAAAATAAGCACAAACAGGCAATTTACAAAAAAATAAACTAGTAAACATGAAATTATAAAAATGTTAGTAATAAAGTCCAACTGCAAATTAAAAGACTATTTAATTTGCTAAATTTCATATAAATCACTTACTGACTAATCTTGATGACAGTAAAGAGAAGCTGGAACTCATCCGCTATGGTGAGAATGCAAACTGGCCTCACCTTCCCAAAAAGCATTTTGGCAATACTGCATCAATAGCTGACACAGGGTGTTTGACCCAGTAATTTTAGCTCTTGATATCTGATCTAAGAAAACAGCCTTACACACGGAAAAAGCTACAATGAAGGAAGTTGCTTGTGTTACAATCATGATAAACTGACCAGTAACTAGCTGTCAAACAGGACACATGCTCTAAACCGTCCCAGACTCCTTGGATACACTACTAAGTATCCTTCAAAATAAGAGCCCTGGTGGCACAGCGGTTAAGTGCTCAGCTGCCAACTGAAAGGTTGGTGGTTCAAACCCACCAGCCGCTCTGCAGAAAAAAGATATGGCAGTCTGCTTCCATAAAGATTACAGCCTTGGAAACCCTACGGGGGAGTTCTACTCTGTCCTACAGGGTCGCCATGAGTCTGAATCAACTTGACGGCAATGGGTGTCCTTCAAACTATGAAATTATGAAGGCTGGACAATATGGCCTTGTGTTTACAACACCAAAAAACTCCTATATAACAAAGGAAGAAAAGCAATATGAAAAACTGTATAATTTAAAAACCATTTTTTAATATAAAAGTATTAAAATGTATGAAAACAATTCTATAGTACCAGGAATGTGATGATTTTTCCTCTTTCCTCATGTATTTTCAGCAATATCTTCCCATTATATATTCAAAATTTAAAAAACTGATACCCACAGAGAAGTATGTCCAGTGAACTGATATGACCCATTTAAATAAAATATTTTGCAACTACGGTTGTCTAGATGTGCTGACATAATTTCTAATATTAAAAAATAAAACCTGTTACTGTCAAGTCAATTCTGACTCATGGCGACACATGTCAGAGTGGAACTGCACTCCACAGGGTTTTCCAGTGCAAATGTTGTTTTGATGATCTCTTTATAGCAGGCCTTCCAACCAGTTTCTCTGGTTAGAACCCCTGCTGAGAATTTGCATTTCTAGCAAGCTCCCAGGGGGTTA